CTTGTGTTTTGTTTGTATCCTGTTGACTTGGTTGGCAAAATCAATTTTGTCTTTACTTTTTCATCCCTAGTATCTAATTGTGTATTTCTGTAACAGAATTTGATATATAGATAAAGTCTGTAGTACATGGATTGGAGCATTTTTAAGCATTCATTGTATGCATCTCATCTTAAAGCTTCTATAATTTTGAATTAAATGTTTTGTGATTTTGCCAATGTTCAATAGCAGTCTTTAAAACATTATTACCTGAAGCATTAGGAGTTTGCTATTATTGGTCTGTCCTTATTCAAAGTAGTTGTATCAAAGATAGGAACTATTTTTGTTTTGATGTGTTGCTTTATTTCTTTTTCCAACAAATATTTGTGTGCCTACTGTTTGCTATGCACTGTGCTAGGGATTAGTCATTATTTGCATTATTCAGACTAAGCCACCATGAATTCTGTAGGATGACTGTTGGAATTTCTTTTTCAGGGTATGGTACCATTTGTTTTTGTGGGAACAAAGGACAGCATCGCTAATGCCACTGTTCTTTTGGATTATCACCTGAACTATTTAAAGGTGAGAACAGAAGGAAATTTAACTTCTAATAATCCTTTTCCAATGAAATATAAGGACTCCATAGTAAATCTATCAGCCGTTAGGATTCATTCTGCCATATATACATATCATAATGATTTACTTGTAAAAGATAATGGAGAAAATACTCCCTTTGTTCAGTTTATAGTTCTTCTGAAAACATAAGTCGGTTTTCCATCATAGTAAATTTAAGGACCAAGATCCTAGTTCTCAAAAAATTCCCTTATTGCCAATTATTCTTCTGTTAAGTACTTGCACTCAATATAGGTAATCCTACAGGTAGCCTTTTAGTACAGTTGATCCTTTCTAGGTTTTGTGGGGCTTTTTTTTTTCCAGACCAAATTCTGTTTAACACTTGCCTTTGTTGTCCCTTTGATGTCATTTATCAAGGAAGTCCTAGTGTTTCATGGAAGTCCTCTGTTTAAACGTTTACCTTTTGTACTTTTTTCAGTACTAGATAATACAATACAAATCGATAAACTATTTGTATCTTTTTGTAATGGCTCATTGCAGTGTTTTGTACAGTTACGTCTCCTCTCGATTACAGACGACAGGGCAGAAACCAGGAGGTGACGAGGTGTAGCGAGTGGAAAAGACCACACTGGTTTGGCAGTCCCC